TGGATCCCTCCATGCATGAGGAGCCTTGAGTCCATTCAGAGCCTGCTTTTTCTGACAATTCTCAGGTTTCTTGTGCAAAGCTTTGTCGCTTGGCCCAGCCCTTCTAAGGGAGTGTGGGACATATTCCTGACTGGGGTGGAGCAGTAACTTGTCTTCACCCTTAACATTCGGTCATGTTCCCTCAGTGATGATAAACCAATGGTTAAAAGGATAAAAAGCATCCTTGATGGTTCTTTATAGGATACTGGTGAAATCACCATGTCAGTTCAGCCAGCATGTTCACACAGTCTTGATGATCCCTCTCTGTGGAAAGGTAGCACACATTAAGAGAAGGGGGAAAGAGAATAAGAACAGAGAAATAGCTTATGGGGAGCTGAGATCGTATTTTGTTGTCCTTTTTTTTTTTTTTTTTCATTGACCGATTTGCCTGTAAGCTGGACTTTGCAAGAGGTGCTGTGATGACCCCTCTCCATTGCTGGGATGCTTATCTAATCTGAGAAAGTGTGAGGGGGGAATGTAAATTAAAAATGTTCAATTCTAGTACTGTGTTAAAATGTCACTCTTCTCTCATTCTCCCTTATTCCCATCTACCTTTTTTGCCAGATGATTTTTTTTTTACCTTGTTGGATGACTGTGAAGCTATAAATAATGGGTTGGGTCAGGTGTATCAGTTTTGAGAGCACATGTTAAGAACTGAAGGGGAACTACTTGAAATGACTTAAGAATCATCCCATGCAAATAATACTGTTTTGCCCAAATAAACTATTCAGAAAGCTATCTCTGCCTTCATTCATTCAACCGATAAATATGGAGTATTCTTTCCATGTCAGGCACTGAGCAATACCTGTACCAGCAGCAAACAAATAAACAAGCTTATGGACACATACATCATCTTACTAAGTCTGTGGAGGAAAAGTAAAGAGCATGATAAAAAAAAAGGGTGGGTAACCAGTATGTGTTTTAGACAGAGGTGATAGAGAAAACATTTCTAAGGCATGGAGGATCCCAAAGAAAGAGTGGCTGATGCTCTGTGAGCAAAGGGAAGGATGATGTTGGGAGGGGGAAGGTGGTGTTGAGGAGGAGGGGGCAGAGGCTTGCTGCCCTGGGCTGTCAGGGTGAGGGGTTTTGTTACTCATTGGGGAAAACCAGTATGGAGTTGCAAGCATTGAAAAGGATCATCACTAGTGTGCTTTATTTTTTTTCTGTAGACATCAGCAAGTTGGTAAAACGTAGATGGTAATGCAAATAGCCAATTTTGAAAAAGAATTTGTACTACCTGATTTCAAAACTTTCTACAGAGCTACAGTAACCAAGACTACATTTGGCATTAAGATGGTCATATTGAACACATAAGACAGAATAGAGTCCAAAAATAGTGCTCACTTCGGCAGCACATTATACTAAAATTGGACAGATACAGAGAGGATTAGCATGCCCCTGCACAAGGATGGCACACAGATGCATGAAGCCTTCCACATTTTTGAGTGATGTATAGAACTGTTCAATCACTATATTGAACACCTGAAACTAATACAGCACTGTTAACTATACTGGAATTAAAATGAAAAACTTAATAAAAAAGAAAGTCCAGAAATAGACCCACACATATATGATCAGTTGATTTTCGACAAAAGTGCCAAATTAATTCAACAGGGAAGGTACAGTTAGTCAAATAATGGTACTGGAGCAACTGAATATCTAGGGGAAATGACCTTCAACTCTTCCCTCACATCATATACAACAATTAAAGCATAGATCTGAATAAAAACTATAAAAATTCCAAGAGAAAATATAAAATCTGTGATTTTGTATTAGGTAATGATTTCTTAGAACACAAAAAGCATGGCTCAAAAATATTGATAAACTGTACTCGATCTAAGGGACACCTGGGTGGCTTAGTTGATTGAGCATCCAACTCTTGATTTCGGCTCAGGTCGTCATCTCATGGTTTGTGAGATTGAACCCCAATTTGGGCTCTGGGCTGACAGCATGGAGCCTGCTTAGGATTCTCTCTCTCCCTTTCACTCTGCCCATCCTTTCTCTCTCTCTATCAAAGTAAGTAAATGAACTTTTTTTTTTAATGTTTTATTTATTTCTAGGAGAGAGAGAGAGAGACAGCATGAGCAGGGGAGGGTCAGAGAGAGAGGGAGACACAGACTCCGAAATAGGCTCCAGGCTCTGAGCTGGCAGTCAGCACAGAGCCCGACGCGGGGCTCGAACCCACGAACCGCGAGATCATGACCTAAGCGAAAGTCGGACGCTTAACCGACTAAGCCACCCAGGCGCCCTGTAAATGAACTTTTAAAAAATGAAAACTTCAAGTTTCAATAAAAGGACAATGCAAACACCAGACTGGGTGGGATAAAACATGCATTATACATATCTAACAAAGGCTTTCTATCCAGAATATATTTTTAAAAATCTTAAAACTCAATAAGGCAAGGCTTTTCAATAAAACACAGGCCAAAGATTTGAACACTTTTTTAAAAAGATTTTATTTTTTTAAGTAATCACTATGCCCAGCATGGGGCTCAAATTCACTACCCTGAGATCAAGAGTCTTATGCCCTCCCAACCTAGCCAGCCAGATGTCCCAAAGATTTGAAAAGAATCGTCACAAAAGGAGATGTACTAATGGCCAGAAAAGCCCAGGGAAGATGTTCAACATCACTCATGGTCAGGGAAATGCAAATTAAAACTACAATAAGATTCTACCACTTACCCACCCACTAGAATGGCTGAGTTTAAAACGAATTACAATACCAAGTGTCGACAAAGATGTGGGAATGCAAAGTGTACAGCCATTTGAGAAAACAATTTGGCAGTTTTTGGCAGTAATTTCATCCACCTCAGAGAAGCATGCCCACACTTGCACTTGAGTACACACAGCTGCTTGATTCATACCAGCCCTAAACTAGAAACAATCCAAAATGCTGTCATTGTGAATGGCAAGGAGGTTGTAGTATTATGTTCATGGGATGGAATATTGCTCAGCAATGAAGAGGAACAAATCACTGATACCTACAACTGTATGGGTGAATCTTAAAGAACATGCTCAAATAAACCAAACACAAAAGAATACAAAAATCTAGAAAGGCAAAACTAACCAATGGTGACAGAGAGTGGGTAAGTGGTTGCCCGGGAGCCAAGATTGGGAAGGTAGGAATGAACTGTGTCCAACAGGACTGTTAAAAGATAATTTGGGGGGCACCTGGGTGGCTCGGTCGGTTAAGTGTCCGACTTCAGCTCAGTTCATGTCTCATGGTTCGTGGGTTCGAGCCCCGTGTTGGGCTCTGTGCTGACAGCTCAGAGCCTGGAGCCTGCTTCAGATTCTGTGTCTCTCTGTCTGACCCTACCCTGCTTGCACTCTGTCTCTGTCTCTCTCAAAAAATGAATAAAAAACAAACAAACCCTAAAGAACAAGGTAGTCTCACTTTTTGTCTAGGAAAAAAAAAAAACCAGCATGACATAGCAGGTGCTCAAATGCTGGTTTCTTCTGGCTAATATTTTAATGTTTACCATGTACCAAGCATCTTACTAGGTTGAGCCACATGAACTTGCCAATATTTGACACTTTTGACCAAAAAAGGATAACTTTAGCCTAAAAAAATAACATAGATTCTTATTTAGTCCTTACACCACTGAGGTGGGTACTCGCCCCACCGCACACACTTTTATAAATGAAAAAAGCAGCAAGAGGTCAAAGAACTTGTCTAATAATACCAACTTCTTAGTAAACGGTAGAAGTGGGATTCAAACCCTGGTGGCCAACTCCAGACCCAGTGTGATTTGATCCCTGTGATGCACTTCTATTGAAAACACCGCAGCGCCCTGGGCTGTGTCACTGGGGATTGGAGTGGTTTCTCAGAACTGTGCCAGGTCCCCTAAGTTTTTCACTTTGGCTAAACCCAGATCCCAAGTTTTAGCCCTATGGCAGGTTTCCGGCCCCCCTACCCAGCACCTCCAGGGATTTGCTATCCTGCCCTGAAACCAGGCAGCCTTTGTGGTCTCCGAGTAGGCATCTTCCTAGTGTCTTCTGACTGCTCCTTACTGACCTGTCCAAACCGCTCCTCCCCCCACCCCGCCCCACCCCTCCACCTGCCCCCACTGTGCTTGCATTCCCTCACAGCCCCCATCCAGGCCACTAAAATTGTCACGGCCCTTCGGGGGTCCTGATCTTTATCGCGAGCTGAGGTTTTATTTCATGACCCGCGTACACTACACGTGAGGATCCCTGCACAAGCGTCTCGCTAGAGGGAGTGGGTGGTCCCGTCGTTTTATCCAGGATAAAACCAGGTGACACCCAGTGGCCGGGCAGGATCTTCTGACCACTCGCTCAAACGTGTCTCGCTGCTGTGCTTCTGGGACTCTGTCCTCACATCTGAGTCTCAAGTCTCTCTGGGTGTTTGAAGTGCTCTGAGAACATCCTGAGGAAATCGGGGACACGGTGGCAGGTGTTTCTCCGGGCTCCACCTCCAGCTGGGGAGCTGCGGGAGCCCTGGAGGAGTCACTTCCTGGCCTTCTTCCCCGAGCAAACTTACCTCGAGGCACAAACATCTGCCCGAGACCGGAGGGTTTCCGCGCGGGGCTGCGGCGCGCCCCCCGCCCGTGGGGCCCTGGGGGATCCACGTGCCCCCGCGCCGTCGGCGCGCCCGCGGGGAGGGCGACCGGCAGGAGTGGCAGCGCGCGGCTGGAGCGCGCCGTGCTCGCCGGCCGCGACGTCCCCCGAACAGGAATTCGCTTGGGGCTGCGACGGCACCAGCGGCGGGGACAGGGGGCGGGGAGGCGGCCGGATCAAAAAGAGCCTCCTGCCCGGCGGAGACCGTCCGCGCGCGCCGAGGAGCCGCCCCTCCGGGAAGGGCGGGGACGTCCCGGGCGCTGACCCGAGAGCCGCGCGGCGCTCCCTCCCCGCGCGCCCCCGCGGCCGCCGGTCTCCCCCGCGGCCCCCGCCCCCCGCCGCCCCGCCGTCCGCGCGCTCCCGCCTCCGGAGGAGGCGCGGCCCGGCGCGAACGGACGCGCGGGAGTGGCTCCGGAGGCGCGGAGGCTCGGCGCGGAGCAGCGCCGGGACGGAGACGATGCCTGGACTGCCCGGCCGCGCGGGGCTCGTGCTCGGCGTCATGCTGCTGGCGGCGCTGCTGGCCGAGGGCCGGACGCTCCCCCTGAGGAAGCCGCGGCTCCGGAGCCCCGCGAGGCTGGCGGAGGTGAGCGGCGGGGAGAGGGGCCGGCGCGGGGCCCGGGGCGCGAGCGGCGACCTCCGAGGGCGGGCGCGGAGCGCGGACCAGGTGCATCGGACCTCGCCGAGCCCCCGCCCCGACCGCGTGGCGGGCCGGCCGGGGAGAGACGGGGCTTCTGGGCAGAGCGCCGGTTGTGGACCTCCCCCCACCCGCCCCGGAACGGCTCGGCCTCTCCCTCCTGCGGCTGCCTCGCCCTGAGCGACCCTCTCCTGCAACCCCCCCGTCCAGGGGGCGCGCTCCTTAGTCGGGAGGATGGGAGGGGAACGCGGCGCCGCGCGGAGTTGCCGAGGTCCAACCCGCCGAATAACCGCCGGTGCAGCCTCAAATCAAACCTGCCAACGTTTTGAGTCCCTTTGGGTGTGAAGTGAGACGAGACGAGGTAATGAGTGGGGCTTTTAACTTGCTGGAAAGTAATATATTACTATGTAGTAGGAAGAGCAGAGGTCGCTAAGGCGTGGGGAGGGCGGGGGGCACTTTCTGGGTGGCCCGTGAGTGGGCACTGGGGATGCGACTGAAAACAAAGGAGAGTCGGAAAAGAGTGGTTCAGAAGTGGAGAGGAACCACGTCCGCCGAACCCCGTCTCCCTTCGCCAGGGGCCCACAGTCCAGCCATTCCCGCGTGGATCTCATCCCCTTGGGGACGAAACCCTCAGACTTGTTCCGGAGTTTGGGGACTTGGGGTGGTAGCGGGTCCTGGCTCCTCCCAGGCTCTGAGCTATCCTACGAGGAGGCCAAAGTGGTTCTTCCCATTTTTCAGACGAAGTCACTGAGAGGCCCTGCCGGGTGGGTGCAGGAGACCGGTGGGTGAGCGGGCCCGGAGCTTGGGCTGCTGGCAATGCCCAGGCTGCCCAGGCCCCCCGGAGGCGGTGGGAAAGCACTGCCTGCATCTGAGGTCTCTGTGGACTGGTGTGTAGCCACCTTTTTTTTTTTTTCAACGCTGCCTTCCTAAGGAGCCTTTTAGACATTTCCTCCCCCCTAAGTGCCTTTCCCACTGAAATTTTAATCCCGTAAGTATACTGTTTATGTATCATGGCACGTGGGTATGTTACAAACCATTGTAATATCTGAGATTTTTGGCCCCCTGTTGAGACTACATGCCAGTAGACCAGAGTTTCTCAACCTCCACACTCCTGTCATTTGGGGTCGTATAATTCTTTGTTGTGCGTTGTAGGACAGTCACAGCAGCGTCCCTGGCTAGGTGTTCGTAGCACCCACTGCTGGACAGAGGCAGACATTGCTGGCGCTTCCTGAGGCACACCCCTCTCCCCCACCGTTGCTGACAACCACTGCTGTAGACAAATCCAGAGGAACTGGACAGCCTCTGGCCAGTCCCCGCTCTTAGGTGGAGGTGATGGTGGTCATAAAGTTAATCAATTGGCATTTTTTTTCTCCTACCCATTTTTACGTATTTTCTATTTTAGTACTTAACTGCTTTGTATTGTGATTATTTTTGATATATTTGCCAGATCTTCCCCCGAGACCAGTCTAGAGGATGAGTTATTTCAGAGCCAAAGTCATATCCCCAGCTCTAGTAGAGGACCTGGTGGAACCCTCAAAAATATGTTAAAGCAAATTAGTGCCATGAGGGAACAACAGAGCTTGGAGCCCAGGGCCTGGGGTTCTGGTCTCAGTGGGTCATTAACTCAGGCATGCCTCACCTCGGATGATCTCCTGACACTTAAAATAAGGGGCTGGGTCATCTCTGTGATTCGTCCAGCTCAAATACTGCTTCAGAAGTCCGTGCAATGTGTGTTAAAGCTCTTATGTAATCAAGGTGTTAGTTAAGAAATTGTGTTGAGATCATGCAGGCTTAGGGGCTTAGGTGACATGTCGGAAAGAAATGACAACTCCAGAGACTTTTTTGAAGAAACTGAAGAGCGTAGCGCCCCTGGGTGTTATTCTCATGGGTGTTGGATGGATGTTAGTCTCATCTTCCAGATGAAAAAAATCAAGGCAATAGAAACATTAATCCTAACCAGAGTGGGAGCCAGTTCTGTCATTTCAAGAGGTAGATGTGGGACCTCAGGGTCCATCTTTGTATGTCATGCCCCAGCCTGCTCATCTGAACTCTTAAAAAGTCTTAAAATCATTGGCACCATGAACAAAATGTGCCACCCTCTCTCTGGTCAGGCCTGTTGCCGAGCCTCAGTTTACTCCCACAGTCAAATGGGAATTGGAAAACCCATTCTGTCAGATGGGCTGCTGGGTGAGAAAGCACGGCACATGTGTACAGTGTGTGGCATTGTCGTTACAAGAGTTTGTTGGGTGAGGTGCCTGGGTGACTCAGTTGGGTAAGCATCCAGCTCTTGATTTCAGTTCAGGTCATGATCTCACAGTTTGTGAGTTCGAGCTCCACATCAGTCTCTGCACTGACAGTGTGGAGCCTGCTTGAGAGTCTGTCTTTCTCTTTGTCCCTCTCTCACTCACGCTGTCTGTCTCTCTCTCAAAATAAATTTTAAAAAAGATTCAAACTCATAACATAGTTTAAAAAAGAAAAGCACAAGGGTTTGTTGGGTGCTAAGACGGGCAGGGAATGACAGAGCTCGGCCTTGGGTGTCTTCTATTCTGGTTAGGATCAGAACACCACCCAAACTGCCACAGTGCCTAGCATTTTGTGGTCCTTGTCTTGTTTTCCTCATTTTAGGGATGAGGAAACTGACAGTGAGTCTAATAACTAAGCCATGAGTCTGCAGCTAGTGAGTGGTAAACTCAAGGATTGAAACACAACTTGGCTTAACTCCAGCCCCTGGGGACCTCAACCTGGCACGTGCCACCTCCAGGGCAGGCAAGGGAAGACCTTGGGGTGGGGGAGACAGAGCTGGGACTTGGGGCCACAAGAAGGTGATGGAGATGAGAATTGGGGAAGACGGAAGTTCCCTTCTCAGAATGAGGACTCAGAATGTGTCCTCCTCACACAGAGGAGAGGGGACAGCTCTCCCAGGCTGCAAGGACTGTCCCACATGAAGGGCCCCACGTGGGGCAGAGCTGTAGGAGTTTGTGCTGTAGCAGCAGGGATGTCATCTCCGTGGAAGGAAGCGCCTGTGAGAGGAGAGGAGAGTGGGCGAGAGTGAAAAGCTAAGGCACAGAGGAAGGAGCCTACGGGCCTCACACATCCGGTACCAGCACTCATCTTGTAGCCAGTTGCCTGACATCAAGGGCTGGATAGCCGGGAGTGGGGGGAGGGGTGGTACAGTGAGTTGAAAGGTCTCACCTGCCAGGTGGGGGCACCAAGAAGCAGATCTTTTCTGAAGGTTTTCTTTGGTTGGGGTCTGTCTTGCCCAATCAGTGAGTGAGTGTCATAAGGGGAGCTGGAACCCAGGTCTGTGTGATGCCAAGCCTGTGGCTTTGTCCTTAGCCTCCCCCTGCAGCTGGGCACCTTCTTGGACCTTGACTATGACCATCGGTCTCCCTTCAGACCATTCTTCCTGCTAAGAATTTGGAACCACTGGAAAGCTGGTTGGGAGAGAAAGGGAAGGACAGGAGTGGGGGCCAGGTCGTTGCTGCTTGGCGTTCCCAAGCAAGCCCTCTCCTCACTGGCTCTCAGGCTCCTAATCTCAATCTCCACCTTTGCCTCTCACTCGGTTGTTATAAAGATCAAAGGGAAAGATGGATGTGAAAAGGAGAACATCCTGTCCTAGTGTTTTGGCCATTCAGCACACTCAGCACGCAAGTGGCAGTCAGCGAACCAGAAGGTGCAGCTCTCACTTGGAGTTGGCAAAGCACAAGGGATAAGACCTTCCAGCCGGATCATCTGCCTCAAGTCCTCTTCTGCCAGCCCTCTCTGTGACACCAAGCAGGTTACTTCACCTCTCTGATCTTTGGCTGCCTCATCTATGAAGATGATGCTGGCCCCTGCCCAAAGGGTTGTGACAACGCAGTGAGTCAGTGCACGGGGCATGCTTGGCAGCACGGACTCCGTAGTTGGAGGGGCCCAGTGCAGAGTGAGAATGGGGGGCCTCCGAGCATTTCTTTTTTTCTTTTTTTTTTTTTTTTTTAATGTTTTATTTATTTCTAGGAGAGAGAGACAGCGTGAGCAGGGGAGGGTCAGAGAGAGAGGGAGACACAGACTGAAACAGGCTCCAGGCTCCGAGCTGGCAGTCAGCACAGAGCCCGACGCGGGGCTCGAACCCACAAACCGCGAGATCATGACCTAAGCGAAAGTCGGAAAGTCGGACGCTTAACCGACTAAGCCACCCAGGCGCCCCCTCTGAGCATTTCAACATGGCAGCAGCAGAGCGTTCAGTCAGATGCAGAGCGCTGTGCAAGTATGCGGGCCACACAGCATGGAGCCGGGCCTGCTGCTTGCAGGGTGCCCTCTGTCAATAGCACTCTTGTTAGCACCAGGAGCTCTGGGGTCTCCGCTGGGTGCCAGATGGGCTGGATGCGTGCATGCCAGGGAGGAGGGTGACTTGACTATGCCTGCAGTCCTCTCCCTCTGCCTGTGGTCCTCTGGCCTGGCTGAAGAGACACTTGCTGTTGAGTGGTGGGTCTCCAGCCCCTCCTGGGAGGCCAGGGTGACTGTGTGTGCAGCCTGCTCTGCACAGATGGGTGTGGGGAGGGAGGTGCAGGGCTGCACCTGTCCACCGGGTTTCATTATCTGGAAAGTTATCCAGAGTTCATTATCCAGAGTTCCTGACCCCTGAGGCAGAGAGGAGGGAAGATGGATCTGTGAGGGGCTGAAGCAGGTTAGCAGGCAGGCTTGTGCAATCCAGCAAGGGCTTGTTCACATGAGGGCTTTTCTGTTAACCGGGAACAGGGTCAGGGCTGCCTGGCCAAGCCTGGGAAGGTACGCGTGGGCCTGTGTGTGTGTGTATGTGTAAGAGAGAGAGAGGGAGAGGAAGGGTGAGAGAGAGAAGGATGGGGATATACCCACATACTTCATGTCCCTCTGGGCGTTGACACCATTCCCCAAAAGAACGGACATGCACCAAAGTCCACACCAAGTGTAACAGGTGGGGGTGTGGGCCTGGGAGCGGGACACATGTTCTCAAATATGCTGGAGCCTCGGGATTGAGGCCATGGGAACACCCCTCCCAGAGATCGTGCATCACTGGTGGGGCCGGGGTATCAGACCGATTAAGACATAAAGAACTAACAGTGCCTGGTGAGAGGGGTGCTCTCCTCTCTCTCTCAAAACCATCTGTCAACACCTGTAGGTAACAGTGCACGTTTGCCGTGTTTGAGGCAACCCCTGTTCTTTTTAATTTTTTTAATGTTTTATTTATTTCTGAGAGAGAGACAGCATGAGCAGGGGAGAGTCAGAGAGAGAGGGAGACACAGAATCTGAAACAGACTCCAGGCTCTGAGCTGTCAGCACAGAGCCCGACACAGGGCTCGAACCCATGAACCGTGAGATCATGTCCTGAGCCCAAGTCAGATGCTTAACCAACTGAGCTACCCAGGCACCCCGAGGCAACCCTGTTCTAACTCCACAACCACACAAGACAGAGACTGCTGTTTCCCTAATTTGTGGAGGGAGAATTTAAATTAGATTAAGTTTACCTGCCCAAGGTCACACAGCTAGTAAGTGTACAAACGGTTTTGAACCCAGGCCATGTGGCCTCCAGCCTACACTCATTACCACTACATTCGGCTGCCAGCAAGATGACAGAAAAGGGAAGTGCTTTGTGAGTACAGAGGTGGTTGCATATGACGTGTGTGTCCACACACTTGGCATGCACCGTTGCATGGGCGTTGAGATCAGGCAGAGCTAAATTTGAAGCTGAGCTCTGATATGACACTTTATGTAAATCCCTTGGACTTTGGGCTTTATGTAAATCCCTTACCCTATCTGAGCCTCCATAGCCTCATCATTAACACAGAGACGGTCATATTCACCTTTTGGGGTTGCTAGTGTTCATTCAGTCGCTCAGCAATGACTTATTGAGTTCCTCCTATGTGCCAGGCCCTGTGCTGGGCACAGGACACCGCGTGAAGCAAGCAGACAGAGTCCTGCCTGCACTCTAGCTGGGGTGACAGAAGGCACATCCAGGGCCTAGCCCAGGTCTGTAGAGATGTGCTGAGACAGTACTCACGGGTCAGGGCTCTGGGGGCTCTGCCCATATCTCTGCCTTACTCCCTGTTGCCAGTGTCCAGTTTCTTGAGGGCTGTCAGTTGCATGAGGGCCTGTTCTCAGCTGTACATGACAAATCCGAGGTCCCCAGGAAACAAATCCTCTTCTCTACCCAGCAGCCCTCAACCAGTGACTGGTGAGGTTTGCAGCTACATAGCCCAGCTCCCTGCTTCTGGGGGAATAACTGAGGCACCAGTGGGATTGAACTCCACTTGTCTACCACGGTCACTAACTTGATGGGACATTCTTTATTAGCTGCCTCCCATCCCCGACCCACTCCCCCACTCCCTGCTAGCGCCTCCTAGGATCACCTTCCAAAGGAATGCCCTGGAATTCTGGTGTCAGTGAAGAAACCCAGACTAAGACCCATGGCCCCCCTCCACTCCTGAGAGGTCCCTGGGGCCTGAAGCACAGAGCGGGGGCCTCCAAGAGCAGCTCTAGAGAAGGGTGGCTGTGACGTGTGGCTATGATGTTTAGCCAGGACTTTCTATGGCCTTTGCTCATCATCTGGTCCACCTGGGTAGTAAGGAGTGGCGAGGTTGGAGAGGGCTGGAAATGAACATTCTGAGCCCTGCTGGATATCAACTCTCTCCCCTCACTGTTCTCATTTTACAGATAAGGATGCTCAGAGGTTCTATCCCCTGACAGGGTCCCCCAGGTCAGAAGCCAGACTGTTCAGGGATTCAGATCTAAGCGGCCTGACTTTAGAGCAAGGTTTCTTTTCTTTCTTTCTTTTTTGTTTTTTTTTTTTAAAGCTTATTTATTTATTTAAGTAATCTCTACGCCCAGCGTGGGGCTCAAGACCCTGGAGGTCAAGAGTCACATCCTCTGCCAACTGAACCAGCCAGACGCCCCCTAGAGCAGGGTTTCTTAACTGCAGCAGTTTCTTTAAAAAAAAATTAAAAAAATTTTTTTTAATGTTTATTTATTTTTGAGAAAGAGAGAGAGACCCAAAGTGCAAGCGAGGGAGAGGCAGAGAGAGGGAGACACAGAATCCAAAGCAGGTTCCAGGCTCTGAGCTTTTAGCACAGAGCCCAGCATGGGACTTGAATCCATGAACTGTGAGATCATGACCTGAGCCGAAGTCTGTGCTAACTGAGCCACCCAGGAGCCCCTAAAAATTTTTTTTAAACATTTATTTATTTTTGAGAGTGACAGAGCATCAGTGGGGGGGGGGGTGCAGAGAGAGGGGAGAGAGGGAGGCACAGAATCTGAAGCAGGCTCCAGGCTCTGAGCTGTCAGCACAGAGCCCAACACGGGGCTCGGACTCGGGAACAATGAGATCATGACCTAGGCCGAAGTCGACGATGAACCGACTCAGCCACCCAGGCGCCCCTTAGTCACAGCACTGTTGACACTCCGGGCTGGGTGATTTTTATGAGGGCTGTCCTGTGTGTTGTAGTGTCAGTAGAACCCCTCTCCAATTGTGACAACCACAAATGTCTCCAGACATTGCCACATGTCCCCAGAGGAGAACCATTGCTTAACTACCCACTCAAGAGGCAGGGGCATCCACATCAGCCAGAAAGGCTGCAGACCCTGAACCCCTGCTGTCCCGAGACTGCCTGTCCCTGTGCCCCGGAGGCTGCAGAGAAGCTACTGAGCCAAGTCACAGGGACAGTTAGGGCTTTGGCTGCGGTGTGAGTGGGAGCTGCCAGGAAAGCAGCATATGGGGATGTTCCAGGCTTCCAAGACTGGTCAGTGAAGGAGCTTAGCTGTTCCATTACTCATTTGTCCATCCTCTCTGCTCATCTGGCCTGGCTATTAAGACCAGAGCACTCTGACTTGGTAACAGACTCCAGGGCCAGGCTCAGATGGGCCCCGGTGATTAGTGCGCGAGCCCTGGAACCAGGTGTCTGGGGAACACTGAGTGAGGGGGTTCAAGGGGAGAGACCAAAGGCTCTTATCCTCTTCAACCCAAGGCAGGAAAGTCATAGTGGGAAATTAGACCGAGTAAGCCCCTGATTTGTGGAATAGACTCTCCACACTCTTGCCTGTAGCGTCAGAGCATAACAGTTAAGAGTGGCGGCTCTCGGGTGTCTGACTGGCTCAGTCGGTAGAGTGTGTGACTTGATCTCAGGGTTGTGGGTTCAAGCCCCTCGTGGGGTGTAGAGATTACTTAAAAATAAAATCTTAAAACAAAACAAAACAAAAAAAAAAACCCCAAAAAAGGCGTATGGGCTCTGGACCCAGGCTGTGTGGTTCAAATCCTCGCTTTACAACTAAATGTCTGTGTGACCTCACGTGGGTTACTAGTTTCCATTGTCAAAAATGGGGAAGACAGATAGCACCTACCTCTGAGGGTGGTTGGGAGGATGAAATGAATGATTAAGTGTTTAGAATAGTGCCTGGCACACAGAGGCTGTGGAGGTGTTTGATAAATACATTTCTGACTATCCTTCCAGGTAGGAATTATCCTCATTTTGCAGATCAAGTTGAATGAGCTGGAAAGAGGCAGAGCTAGGATTTGAACCCAAGCTGATCAGACTGTCCAGACTTGTGTTTTTTCACATGGCTTCACGGATGAGGTGGGAAGTGGGGTCAAGGCTGTGGCCTGGATGGGGCAGGATCCACAGGGTCCCAGCCCCTGAGGCTCATAAAGGCAGCTCTGGACAGTGCCCTTTCTGTCCTGTTGTAGAGGAAGTAGGTGGATAGCCACCCCAGTGTCCCACTGTCTGAGCAGGTGAGGGCTGCTGCTGGAGTCAGAGACAACCAGGGTCTTTCACTTACTATTTGAGCCAAAGCAGGGACTGTCACGGCGTGGACCCCAAGGGCACTGGCTGGTGGAGGGAATTACCCGGCAGACAGACATCTGTGCCAGCACCTGAACTAGGAGAAGGTGCTGGGTCCCAGGTGGGTGGGCGGAGGAAGGGAGCAGTGGCCAGAGATGCTAAGGAACACAGCCCCCCCACGTGGACAGCTGGGGAGGGATGGCCAGTGACAGGGGAGCCTGCTGGAGGAAGGCCCAGGTCTGTGGCTGCCCTCCCTATTGGCCTTTCTGGGCCTTCCTGCCCTGACTCGTGAGACCCGCCGTCTGTTACTGGGCAAGAGCCCTGGGGGCTTCTGAAGTCTGGGGTTTGTTACCCGACCTTGGAAACACTGCCTTAAACAACATTCTTCCCTCTCTGGACCTCGGTTTCTTCGTCTGTAAAATGAGGAGGTTGGCTTATGTTTCTTCCACCTGTAGACACCTGATTTAGCCCCATTGTCATGCCTCACGTTGGCACCATTTGTCAAGCACCCTGTGCACATGGCCTCACTTACCCTCTGAGGCGTTAAAACAAAAAAAAACTGTTTCGACCCATGGTCACAGGGTGAATTTGTGGGCTGGTCAGACCCCAGGGCTCCTGAATCCCCCACTTTGGGGCCACTTGGGGCAAGCCCTGACCCCATTCACCCCCTCTTCCCCTTCAGGTCTCAGTACCCCCAGGTCCCCGCTCTCCTAGGGAAGAGGAAGGGACCCCGCTGCTCCCCAGAACCCGCCTCCAGGCAGGGCCCCGCCGACATAGGCGCCGGGCTCTTGGTGAGCCAGCAGCCCTGAGCCTGGAGAAGGCGGCCATGCCAAGGACCCTGGAGGACACTCCCTTGCTGCTGGAGCTGCAGAAGCTGCCGGGATTGGCCAACACAGACTTGAGTGCCCCAAACCCCAATATCCAGGTGAGAGCTACAGGAGGGCCTAGGCCCAGCAGACACCTAGAGAGGAACTGGGCTGACCGGCTCCACCCTGAGGTCAGGCATCCCCTGGAATGGAATCCCTGTATTCCTGGGAGGGTCCTTTTTGGGGTCACAGAAGGTAGAGTAGTGGAGGCTGCTCCTCTACTTCCCCACTGCAGGCTGAGCGGAGCATGGGGCCCTCTGGGCCTGTGTTTTCCTGTCCATAGCAAAGGAGAAACAGCAGCAGCCTGGTGGGGGCTCTCATGAGGACCCACAGTGTGGAGAAGCTTCCTGAGTGTCAGGGGCTTCCAAAGAAACGGGGGAGGGGCGACTTGTGGCCCCCCACCCAGGCCTGACCCTTACTGCAGGTTTGGTTGAGTGTAGAATGGGGTGCGCTCGTGGTGGGGGGCTACCCCCCAGAGGGGCTTTATGGAGCCAGTGGGATTCCAGTTTATATTCACCACTGCCAGTCCTCAATCCTGAGTGGTAAGAGTTCTGCATTTTGTGCAGCACCTGCAGTTTGCAAAACACGTTATTTTTTAAATTAAAAAATTTTTTTTAACATTTATTTACTTGAGAGAGAGAGACAGCATGAGCAGGGGAGGGTCAGAGAGAGGGAGACACAAAACTGAAACAGGCTCCAGGCTCTGAGCTGTCAGCACAGAGCCCAAGGCGGGGCTTAAACAGACCGCGAGATCATGACCTGAGCTGAAGTCTGATGCTTAACCGACTGAGCCACCCAGGCGCCCCACAAAACACTTTCATCAAAAGAGAAAAGGCCATGAGAAAGCGTAGAGCCTAATGTTCTAAAATTGTTTAAAAGTATGTGTGTATGTGCGCACGCGTGTGGATAAAACCTGGAAGTTTAATCATCAAAATGTTATCTGTCAGAGATGGAGTGGGGGTGATTTTAATTTTTTTCATTATATTTTGCTGGCTTTCTGCCAAATTCTGTTCAGCGATCTCGGATTATTTTAGAATAGCCAAAAATAATGTTTTCAAAGTTCATGTTCACATAAATGATTTCATGTTACTTACTTCCTGTCCACAATGTGGTGAATGAGAGCTCACTCTCCACCTCCACCCCACCCAGGGCTGCTATGGGACTTTGCTCTCTTTGCTGTCATTTTCCAGCCCTACAGCGAGACCCAAGGCTCTTTGTGATTCTGGGCAGCCTGCAGCCAGGTTCACAGCCAGCTTCTCTTAAACTACTGGGGCTCTACCCTCGCATGTGTTAGAGCCACCATACCTAGCCCCACCTCATATAATTGAATTCATGTCTAGGGTAGGGTCAAGGAGTCTGGAATATCCAGGGGATTCTGATGCATGCCCAAGTCTTAAATTGTGACCCCATGTGCCCTGGGAGGCCAGGAAGGTTGGCCAAGAGAATGAGCTGGTTTGGAGGAAAGGTTGGCCTTCTGCCCCTGCCCCCACACTTGTCTCTGAGTGCCCTGAGCACTCCTTACTGGCTGCCCTGTGTCTGACCCTCTGCAGGTGACCATCGAGGTGGTGAAGGATCCCCAGGCCAAGGTGGAGGTGGACCTACTGGCTGAGCCCAGCAACCGCTGGCCCAAGGGTGCCTCAAGCTGGCTGCCTGCCAAGGAGCTCTTCTGGCCCCTATTCTGGAGCTACCTGGAGGGCGAGGAGGGGAGGACCAGTCTCAAGGGCAGAGCCCCAGGGGAAGAAGAGGAGGAGGAAGAAGTGGAGGAGGAGGATTACCCTGCAGAGTATAGCGAGAGTGAGGACCAGGAGGACAACGAGGAGGAGGAGGAGGAGGAGCCTGGGTTCAGTGGGGCCACGGGCAGCTGGGAGCAGGGCTGGCTGGCCCCTGGGGACTGGGCCTTCAAGGAGCCAGACGGCTACGGTGAGCATCCCCATCTTGGCATCCCCGGCTGCTGCTTCTGGAGGTTCTGAGGGTAGCTGGGGGGCTAGAGAGAGGCCTGAGCGCTCCCCGAACAGGGGCAGCTAGGAAGACCAGAAGGTTAGGACTGTACGAACACCATCATCTGCTAAATAGCAACATGGCTCAGAGCTTGCAAAATCTGGCTTCCCCCCCCCCAAAATTTGACCTTCACAACAGCCCTGAGACCCCCCTAAGCAAAATGGACAGTTGTTAATTTTATATATATTCATAGCTATCACTTTCCAACAAATTGGGAAAGTGATAAACCCAGCCACTTGTAACTGACGTCATTTTCAGACTGTGTGGGCTTGAATCCTGGCTCTGCCACTTACCAGCTGAGTGACCGTGGGCAAGTTACCTAACCTCTCTGTGCCTCATGTCCTTCCTCTCTAAAATGGAGAATGCCACAACCCTTAACTGCATAAGATTGGGTGTAGAGGGTATTGAGTTAATACATTTAAAGTGTCAGCATATTGTAAACTAAGTATTAGCTATGTTTATTATTTTTATTAGAAAACAACAGGACGGACTGTCAGAAAATACCACCTAACACCTGGCCAGCCCCCTTGACAGCCATTCTTGTTGCAGTTCAGGTTTCCCTGGGTGCAGTGGTGCTTCATGCACAGGCGCAGACACTCTCCCCAGAGCCCTGGTGTTTCATCGTCTGACAGCGTTGCCAACATTAGGACTAAGGCATAGCAGGCTTTCCCTTGTTCACCAAAATGATGTAAACGGCAGAGCTTTCATGCCTTTCAGCTTTTCTTCCATTAATTTTTCTTAGGCTCTTGGTGCCCACCTGCTCAGGCCTGCCTGGGAAGTAAGGAGAGACTGTGTATGTCAGTACTTTGGGGGTTCCACAGAGCCCCTGGGTCTCGGCCCTGCAACAGCCAGAGGTCTGTGGGTGCAGTCACGGTGTATCTCAGGTTCCTTAGACCAGGACTTGGTCCCTAACATGGGAAACCAGGACCTTCCTTAATGTCCCCAGTGCCAGGGCAGTGCTGTCAGCCTTGGTTTTGATTGACTTAAAAATTATAGGTCAGAAGGATGCCTGGGTGGCTCAGTCGGTTGAACATCCGACTTCGGCTCAGGTCACGATCTGGCGGTTTGTGTTTGAGACCCGCGTCGGGCTTGCTGCTATCAGTGCAGAGCCTGCTTGGGATCCTCTGTCCCCCTCTCTCTCTGCCCCTCCCCTGCTCTCTCTCTCTCAAAAATAAACAAACAATAAAAACAAATAAATAAACCCTCTAGGTCAGAGACATAGGGAGACTTGCCCAGGGTCACATTGACAGTGGTCAGGTAGCCGCCAGCCCCAGGTATATTTTTTGTCCTCGTTGCTGTGTTGGCGCAGAGTCGGTGGCTGGGATTGTTGCTGTGTCTGTAGAGCCACCTGCAGGGGTCCCTGGCTGAGGGACAGGTGGGGGCTGAAATCCAGCCCCGTGCTTCGTCTGCTAGGCTGGGAGCCCTGGCACAGGCGGCACCCTCCTGAGAAAGGGGTGCCCTCAGCTCATCTGCACCAGTGCCCCCTGTGGACTGTGCTCACTCACCCCTGGCTCCCTGCCTTGACCCAGACTATGAGCTTCAAGAGGAGTGGAGCCCCTGGTCTCCCTGCAGTGGGAGCTGCGGCAGCAGCAGCCAGAGGAGGACTCGGCCCTGCGGCCACGCCTGCACTGCCACCGAGTCCCGAGCCTGCGACCTGCCCCCTTGTCCTGGTGAGACGAACCCCAGCTCCTGCACAGGCAGAGGCTTACTCTGGGCGCGGCCCCCCGGGAATGCGGGCCTTGTTTGAGGGTGGGGCCTGCTGGTCCTGCCTCGTCCCAGGCCTAGTCCAGATGCTGTGGGGACCGAGAGCCTAGTGAGGGCTGGGCTTCCCCACTGGGAGCACAGAGGTGCCCTGGGGCCCCACCAGCCTGGCCTCCTCTCTTCCCAAAGGCACCGAGGACAAGGACCCCTCGGGCTTCCCCAGTGAGGGGTCGCAGCCCCTGGCCCACAATGCTACGGACATGCTCAGCCCAGGTCAGTGGCGGGGGGCGGGGCTAGGCCCTACTCCTGGGGGCTTGGGGAGAACCTCTCTTGGGAGGGGGAGCATCGCTGCACAGGAGGGCTCTCACCCCCATCCACTAGGCAGAGTACATGTTCCAGCTGCAAGATTAGCCTCCCCGGCAAAGGGGCCCTGGCATTTCAGAGTCCCCGTAGCTGGGCCATTGGCCTTTCCCAACCTGACGTTCCTGCTGGGAAGACCCTCCTGATGGGAGCCAGTGAACTTGGAGATCATCTGGTGGGGTATATTCTCCCTGGCTGCAGGATGGGGCGGGGACATTCTAGCTTCCATTCCTGGTCGCTCTTGGGGGCTCCTGAGTAGGCTTTGTGTGGGAAGGGGGCGCTGTCAGAAACAGGTCAGGGGCCAGAATTCCAGGCCTGCTCCTTCCAGCAGCTTGGAGTGGGCTGGGCTTTCACTAGGACATTCTGGGTCTCTGTCTCTTGGTGTCACTTGCCGCCTACAAGGAAGTAGGCAGCCACCAACAGGCCCCGTTGCAGGTGGGACCTATGTTCGATACTGTGAAGCTCCCTGAGCTGGCATGCGATGCCTGGCACTATGCGGGGCAGGGGGTTCCCAGAAGACTAAGGCCTGGGATCTGCTCGCAAGGAGCCTGGGTGTTAGGGGGAGAGAGAGACACAACTAGCTTGCGCACGAGGCTGCAGAGCATCCCCCAGAGTTCTGGAGCAAGGAGGAAGGAGCAGTTTGTTCTGCGTGGCCAGAGCCACGGCTGCATTCCCAAGGTAGAGAGAAGGGAGGCGGACGCGTAGATGGAGGGGTCACAGTGGGCCCAGAGAGACAGCGAGCCAGAGAAAGGCAGAGGGGAGAGTGGGCCGATTGTTAAAATAGTAGAACACTTTCTTACCAGTTGCTTACAACAGCGGTTCCTGCGCCCAACCCCCCCTTCCCAAGACCCTGAACCCCCCCCCCAATCCAGCAGGTGAGGGGACAGCACCTGGCACTTCCGGCAGCCTCCAGGCCCCTCCTCCAGCCCCTGGGCCCACGTCCATTCTGAGCCGTGGCCTCCGGCTGCAGGTGTCCTGGGTGCTGTGTGGTAGCCCTTCTCTGGCAACAGGGGAAGCCTCGCCCGACCGCCCCCAGCTCTGGTGCGCGGCCTTCTGTCTCCAGGCATTGGCCCTTGATCGCCCCCACCCCGCCCGGGGGCTGACCGCTCCCCTCCCCTCCCCTCCGCAGATGTGGACAGCTGTGAGAAGTGGCTGAACTGCAAGAGTGACTTCCTGGCCAAGTACCTGAGTCAGGTGCTGCAGGACCTGCCCAGCTGCCCGTGCGCGTACCCGCTGGAGGCCGTGTACAGCGCCGTGAGCCTGCGGGACGAGCGCCGGGGCCGCAGCTTCCGGTGGAGGGACGCCAGCGGGCCGCGGGAGCACCTGGACGTGTACCAGCCCACGGCGCGCTTCTGCCTGCGCTCGCTGCTGTCCGTGGAGAGCCGCACGCTGGCGGCCCAGCACTGCTGCTACGACGCGGGCAGCCGGCTGCTGACCCGGGGCAAGGGCGCCGGCGCGCCTGACCTCGTCAGCACCGACTTCTCGCCTGAGCTGCACTTCAAGGTGGACACGCTGCCCTGGATCCTCTGTAAGGGGGACTGGAGCCGCTACCACGCCGTGCGGCCTCCCAACAATGGCCGCGCCTGCGCCGACAACCCTCCCGAGGAGGAGTACCTGGCCCAGTTGCAGGAGGCCAAGCAGTACTAACTGGGGGGCTGCTGTTCTGGAGAAGCTTCCCCTGCAGACCCATCGCTCTGCCTCTGCCCAGACCCCGCGAGGCCGGCCTGCCTGTGGAACCAAGGCAGGTCAGCACCTCGGGTGTCGGTGTGAGGCTGAGGACGAGATCGAGGGGTGTACAGAGCCTAGGCTGAGGAGGGAGCTCAGTCCCCAAGGCCTCTGGCTGTGTGTGTGTGTGGGGGGGGAAGGTGTCTCTGTGGGGGCTGCCCTCTCCTGCCCACTGGGAGGTGCAGTCCCAGCCTGGCCACTCGTTTTCCTCCCTGTCCCTCTGAGCTGGGCTCTTCCACCCTGACTCCGGGCAGGAGTGGTGATTCCCAGGGCCTGTGGTGGGAGGCCCAGGTCCTGAGGTGCCGCAGCTGCGTTTTGCCAGGCTGGCGGCCAGCCTAGCGGGCAGCTCCTCTTTATCTCTGGGTGGTTGCGGGAGGCTTCTTGCCCCACCTCTGCTGGGAGCCACCACAGACCTGAACCGGGACCCTAACAGAGGTTCTCCTCGGCTCTGAGCTGCTTTTCAGTGGGCACTACTTTGGTGTAGGACTGAAGTCAACCCATGGGGCCAAATGTGGACAGCCAGGCTGAGGCGGCTGAGACAGGGCTGGCTTCCGGCTGGGAATGGGTCAACCTATTCAGGTTCCTTTCTTTGTCCGGCATCTCTGCTCTGTCCAGGTTGTAGGGATGTGCAGGACTGGATGGCACTGCCCTGAATGGACCGAGCAGCCAGGCCTGGGGTGGGCTCAGAGCAGCTCAGGAAGATGTGCACCACGGTGAACTTGTAAACCAGTTCTCTGCTTGGGCTTGGCGGCAGGAGGCCCAGATTTGGGCAGTTTCTATGGTGTTTATGAAGACTCCCACCATGGCCCACACTCCCGAGGTGACGTCATTGAATGCACTGAGCTCAGAGCTGGGAAGAGATGCGTGTAATCAGCTCTCCTAGCACATCTGGTACTTCTTCTCTGCCCTCCTCACCCCCAAAACCATACTTCCTCGCCTTGTAGTGGGTTGAAGGGCTGAAGTCCCCACTGTCCTGTTCACAAAAGCTTCTAAAGGTGGGAACTTCAGCCCCTAGAAGAACTTCAGCTGTCCTGAAGCTCTTTGTGATCCTCAGCAATAAAGCACTTTATTTTCAAATTCTGTCTGATGAAGAATTTGGAGCCTCAGCAGAGGTATAGGGGGTCCTGTGTGCAGCCCAAGCCGAGCCCCCATGGCCGTGTTTGTGACCCCTTAACCTAGCCGGGCAGGCAGAGCTCCTGGGGTGCAGAGGTTAGATGTAGATGTGAGTTCTCCCTCTTCACACTTGTACAGGATTGCCTAGAAGACAGGGAGGACATGGCCAGACCTCAGAGTCACATTTACTAGTTCTGGGGTGACAGGAAGACTTCTAAGACAGAGGTAAATTGCACGCGCTCCAGAGGAAGTGGCCGTATTTCCCCAAGTACCTTGCTGCAAGGGGGTCTGAGGCAGAGTTCCCCAAAGGACTACCCCTGTAAGGTGACAGAAGTATACCTGTACCCTGCCTTGGTTGCTACCCTTAACAGACACTGCGCTGTCACTCCTGGCATTTGGGGAAGGACAGAGACACATCAGGAAGTAGGATGAGGCAAGGTGTGTCCAGAGCCACCACCTGGAGACAGAGAACCAGATGTTTCCATAACCATCACACCTAGAGGTAAGTTTATTAGTCTGGTCCTGGACCACAGGCTAAAAATAATACTCTGGTGCAAATAAAATATTACAGGGCCAGAGAGGGCGGGATCTCAAGTCACCAGATGGGATCCAAGTTCCCTTACTTGATCTCGTCTGGGAAAATCAACATGATTAGCTGAAAGGAGGGGAGTTAGCAGATTCCTGTGAAAAAGGACTCTGGGATATCTTTATCTTCTTATAAAAAAAAGTTTCTGCTGGGGCACCTGGGTGGCTCAGTCAGTTAAGCATCTGACTCATGATTTCAGCTCATGATTAGTACCGGCATAATTTAATTATTTGTTAACAGAAACTTTTTTTTCAGATTATGACCTGAGCTGAAATCATGAGTCAGATGCTTAACTGACTGAGCCACCCAGGTGCCCCAGCAGAAACTTTTTTTTATAAGAAGATAAAGATATCCCAGAGTCCTTTTTCACAGGAATCTGCTAACTCCCCTACTTTCAAATAGAACTCACCTTGACACTTGAACACACTGTCTAAATTTAATCTATACCTGGTGGTTGTCTATTACTCAAAAACTGAGTTTAGCCAGCCACATTTTTGATCTGTAAGTGACATGGGAAATTGCTACCATCTCAGACCACAGATGACAGAAGATAAAGGGAGTTTGGCAGAGTCTTGAAGAGGCTGGGGAGCAGGTCAGCTATGAAATGGTGTTTATTCAAACTCTACAAAAGAGAGAGGCATGGTGCAGGTGGCTTCGGGCTCAGGGGACAGGTGTGTGTGAGGAGAAACAGTGATGGGGGGCCCACTGAGCCTGTTAAAGGGAGGGTTTTAGGAGCGGCCAGTACTAGAACCTGGAGGGGCCCCTCCCCCAGTTCAGGTCCAGTGTTGGTGAGGTCACTGTCTTGACTAGCTGTTCTTCCTTTTCCAAACACCAGAAGCCCTCGTGGCTGCACATCCAGCACAAACACCGCCACTGTTTCTGGTTTAGCTGCCCCAATCAGGATGGTTTTACCCAATTTTTCTCCATCTGGAGTACCTCATAGAAGGTCCTAGGCTAGGCAAGACTGGTCAGATCAAATTCTTACTAGGATTTAAAACAACCTAGTACAAACCCTTCCAGATCCTGCTGGCTTCCTTTGTCTGTTAGAAGACAAAATGTTTCAGAGCTTTTGTCCTATTGTTCATGAAAAGGTCCCAAATGAGCTTCTTTGACTCCTCCATTACAATTGGATTTTAACAGGTAGAGGTGCTTCTCAAAATGTGTCCTGACATCAGTATCACCAGGGGTATTTGTTAAAGTATAAGTTCACGGGCCACACCCCACACCAAGTAAGAATCTTTTAGGGGTGGAGTCCACAGCGTTTTCTGAATTTAACAGGGGCCCCCAGGTGATTCTTAGTGATGTGAATCCTTGGTCTATGATTTGCAATGTAGCCAATTAACTAGCTTTTCAAAATTTTCTTGCTCAAGGGAAAACACTTGGGCCCTTGAGTCTGGAAGTCAGTAGGTACCATTTGGCAAATGGTACCTATGCTATATCTAATCATCTCTAATGCTCTCATAAGGTACCTGTTTTACCCATTATACAGGTGGGAAAATTTGCCCCATTTTTTTAGGAAGTGGTATGATTCAACCCAAGTCCAACTAAGTCCACGGTTTTACTTTTAGCTCAATCGTTCTGCGTTTTAGACTAAAAAATGCTAACAGTAAGGAGCACCTGGGTAGCTCAGTCGGTTAAGCATCTGACTCGATCTCAGCTCAGCTCTTGATCTCCAGGTCTTGAGTTCAAGCCCCGTATTGGGCACCATGCTGGGCATGAAGCCTACTTAAAAAACTACTAGCAGTAAAACGGCAGTGGTAAAAATCGGAACAGCCACCATCAATATTGGGGATGTCAACTGTTCCTGAGCAGGTCACAGGAAGTTAATTTGCCTGGTGCTTTGCTTTTTTAAAGGTGTTTATAATCTCTACTTCAGATTTTTTTGGTAAAGAACTCTAGAATTAACTCTCCAGCCAGGCAGGAAAGGGCTCCTATTTTGTCATTGGTCTCTCTCTCTGTGAGGAGGAAGAGTCGTCTTTTAGGAGGGGCCCGGAGATCGGATTCAAGCTCCAGTCCAGGTTCTTTATCAAGGCAGATCTAATGCCAAATTAGATGCTAATTAGTTCAGTCCACCATTCCTTTGAGTAATCCAAGCTAAAAGTGACTTTTGGGGGTCTAAATTATCCAGATCAGTACCGGTCTTTTGCTTTAACTACAATGTTTTGGCCAAGTCACGTTGGTAGGATTAGCCTGCAGGCCTCCCTGCCACCTAATAAAACAAGCAAAAATAGATGAAGGAAATAGCTGTGCCTGCAGGAGGCAGCGTGTCTGGATTATAAGGCCCTGACTCACGCTGGGACACAGGGCACCAGGGCAGGCCCTGAGGGAAGGCGGCCCTCCTGTTCAGGTAGTGAACTTCTGCCACGTGGCAGCCTGGACTCCATTTGAACATATACCCCCACCATGTGGTCAGTGCTCAGTAAACTTGTTTCATGGAACCGGGTATTTAAAAAATACTCTACAATATTCCTATCCTCCTCTTTTTGGGAATACTAAGAGGCCTGGAATTTTTTACCCCCGGTGGGGATGCCTAACACACTAGAAATACAGCAGCCTCTTTGAGATGAACCCAGCGACAGGACACTAGACATCGTGGTTTAGACTCGAGCACTGGCTCTCCAAGTTCCAGTCCTTCTCAGCTCCTGCGAAGTTATCAGTTGCCGGGCCTGGGAGGTTACTGATGAGAAGCAAGACTCAGATTCTTCTAAAACAGAAATGCTGGTAGTAGCTTTCTCTAAGGCTATTATGGGGGTTAAACGAGCTAATACCAGGGGGGCTACTCAAGTCTCCAGGACCTAGGAACTGCTCAGTAAGCAGAAGCTGTGAGCCTGAGGCTCCCAGTACCCCCTGCCACAGGGTGGGCATCTTTCCATATATCAAACCAGCACCTGATGCTCATCTCTTCTTGCACAGAAGAGGCCACACAAGGAGGCAAGCCTAGGGGGTGGTTTCTTGGCACTGTTTACCCCCAAGAACCCCGCCCTGAGAGCAGCTTTGTGCCAACCTGCAGAAAGGACACTAGCTCAGGAATACGGGGAGAAGGTTTCCTTCCTGCCTCCTAATTACCTGCACTTACCCGGAATGTTTTTCCCTTTAATTCAGTATCTCCAAGGGAACTCAATACCAGCCACCCAACCAACACAGGTTTCCAGATCTGCATGTTTTTTAAATTACGTTTATTTAGCGTATGTACACATAAAAGAGAAATCGCCCTCTGATCCCACCCAGCAGAAAACATGCACAAACCCAAGGTATACGTGGAGGGAAGGGGCCCCAGCCCCAAGTTAGTGGTTGGGATGGTGCAATCCTGTGAGTCCCAAGCCCCAGTCAGGAGAGGGCTGGACCGAAGTACTGGGCAGCCCCTTGCCACCAGCCCTAAAATAAGCGTGCGCCGTAGCCAAAGGTCTGTTTGATGCCCTCAAAGTAGTACCGCTGCCAACCCTGCCGCGTCCTCTCTTCCTCGGGGGCAGGGATGCCTCTGCCTTCCATGCACAGCTCAGTCTCTCCATTCTTGTCTATGAAGGTCAAGGTGATGGTGGCAAAATGCCCTGGGGAGAGGGGGAGGGGAGGGAGGTTTAAGATGCCGGGCTTCCATCAGGGTTGGAGACTAAAGGGGAGAGGAAAGAGTTCTGGGGGTTGGGACTAAGCAAATATGCATACTTACCTTCCGGCCAAGATTTAAACCTCCACTTCATCACAATAAGTTTCTCAGGGACCTAAAATAACCAGAGAGATCAGTGTGTACCACAGACCACCATGTACCCGATCCTGACTGGAAACAGCCATATGCCTTCCGTTCAGTCTCTAGTCTGTGCAGTTCTACATCTCGGGGCACAAAGTGGACCACGGGTTCGTAGCATCTGCACCAACACTGGCTGCAGCTTCTCTCACTCCCAAGTCCGGCTCAGTCAGCTGTGCCCGGGTGACATTTCAGCGCTATAAATGGAAAAGCCACCAGCCGCCAATATATATGACCTCTCTTCCATGTTTGATTCCTTCAAGAACTAATTTTACTCCACTAAGGGAAAAAATTCTGTAAAAGCAAGAAATTTCACCTGCAACATTCTTTTGAAAATCAAAAATGAGGTTTAACTAACCAAATTAAATTTTACCTACACAGCTGAAAAAAGAAGGAATGTTTTCCTTCTGACCAGAGACTACATCCTGGGTCTGGGGCTAGCAGGCACTCACCAGATCAGTGAATTCCCCGGAGACGTTGCCATCTACCAGGTGAAACTTCCCACCTTTGTCTGCTTCTAACATTGCAGGAGCATGAGTAAAGGCCTGAACGAGCTGTGGAAAAAAAGGAGGTAGGAAGATGCCCCTCTCAGTGGGACCTAGGGACAAATGACAGGTGATGCTTGCATGCCTCTGCTCT